TGCACATCACACCGCTGGCGTGTTATTTCTCGCGATCGAATCCGTTATCTCCTATAAGATAAGTCCATCTGTGTATTTTTTCAACTGATTCGAGACGCAATCTGTATACGTAAAAATCACATTAATCACTCGGTCGCTCGTTACAGTAACTTCCGAAGGTACATTTACCTTCTTTACTGAAACTCCCGAGCTCCCTCCTCGAGCCGCAGTATCCCCCCCGTTGCGCTCTACAGGTTCGTTTTCTGTTCCTGCACTGGGGTACCAGCGCAGTAAGCTGGAATGAGAAAGAATGTGCCTGTCTTACTCTAATTTATTGCGCCAGCTCAGGAGTGCAGCAACAGGAAACAAGCCTTATGTTTAATGACGAGCAATTGCCGTTCCGTCGTACGCGTCTTAACGCCGAGGCGGCGCACGAGATGACGTCGGGAGTCACCTTGTTCGCGTAGTCTTTGTCGCGCTGCGATACGTCACATTTCACGTGTCGCGTGGATATCCCCGCTCGAGTGCATCGATCGACGTCCGACGCGATCAAACGGCCGCTCGCATTGCGAGCGAGTAGCGGGATAATTAGCCGGGGAGGGTACGCCGCTTCTTTGTCTCGGCGTGATCGCGTGTCGACGTCGCCCCCGCCGTCTCGCGCACTCGTCGAGAATATCGAGGATCACTCCCGACCGGGGAAACCCCCTCCCCCGCGCTCCATTGACTTCGTTCCGCCGAAGGACGTTTTATCTCCGGCCCACATATCGGCACCTCTTCTACCACGCGACCTCCATTCAGTCCGGCGTAAATACAAAGGGCGCCGGCACCCCCGTGCTCGATCGCGCTCTCCCGTGAGAACGAGAGAGAGAGAGAGAAGCCGGCTGAGAAAAATCCCTTTGACACTTTGACACCTGCCGCGAATCGATCTCGTCGGCTCGTCGACAATTACACGGGCGATAGTAAAATTAGCATAACTGCAGCGACGGGAATTTCGTGAAATTGCGCCCGTCCTATTTTTTTACTCGGTTTAAAATACAATTAATTTATCCCGAGGCGAGACGAGGCTCCGCCGGACAGCTGTTGGGGGGAGAAAAAGACGGGAGGGGGGAGGGAATAGGAAACGACGCGCGAGACGCGATTGTTTGATTTTTTTTTCTCTCTAAATGTCAAAACTCGACAAACTCCGGACAAACATCGCGGTCGAGAAATATCGCGGGAAAATCAAGGTGGCGGAAATTACGGGCACTTCGCGAGGCACTTGGTCAGGCACGGGAGCCGCAAGGCCGTATATTTTTAACCTGAGAACCTTCCGGCAACCCTGCCGCGGGATCAATACCTACAACCACCCCCGTCTCGCCGTGTACTACTGCTAGAAGTGGAGACCGCCGCTAACTTTAACCTACATATCCGCCGCCTCTGGCTGGGAGCCCGCCGGTGGAAACTTGCCACCGAGTCAAGTACAGGAAGAAGAGGCCGGGGGACGGGGGGGAGGAAAAAATGCGGGTACGCGATGCAGATGCGCGCCGAGTAAAGCCGCCCGGCGAGAAACGAGCCGCGGGGCCGCGAGTGTGCAGCGAAATGTTTCTCGATAAGAAAGTTGGAAAACCCATTTCCGCTATCTTGCCCGGTCGAAATATTTCATCGCGGTTCGCGCGCCGCTGCGCGTGAAATGCAAATTGCCTCGATCCCTGTAACATTTATGCCAAATGTAATCCATGTTTCCCATTACGAACCGTTACATTTTATTATCTCAAACGCGTAAAATGTCGAAACCATCATGCGGTGTCTTACGCAGAATAGATACTCTGCGCGCTGGTACTTGAATAATCTCTACTGCTTATCTTCGCACTGAAAATCATATAATCGTGGGACAACGTGGCATTTTTAAGGACTTTATGAGAGTTTTTCGAAATCTTACCATACATTTTATTAGTAATTATACTTAATACATATTTTACTAGTAAAATGTATAGTAAAATTTGCCATTTCGGGGAATTTCATTCGAGTTTTTCAAAATTTTACCATACATTTTACTAATTAAATGTATGGCAAAATTTCAAAAAAACTGAAATAAAATCCCCCGAAATGCCATATCGTCCCACGATTGCATGATTTCCAGGATAAATTTTAAGAGAAAATTCTCTCCGTGCGGGAAAACAAATTTCCAATGGTTGATTAGATTCCGAGTGATTAAATTCTTTGAAAAACGAACGATAATTGCGAAATTATACCCCGTACAATACTTTGGGAAATAAAGTCTGCGTAAAAGGAAAAGGTGGAAGAACTCGGTAGAAGTGAATATCGCGTTCCAAGTCTTCCTCGGAGGGGTCACCGGCCCGAAAGTCGTGAAAACTTTTTTGCGGTTTTCGCCTTTCTCTCCCTCTTTTCCTTCCTCTCCATCTCGGATCGAGCTCTATTTTCTCCCCGCGGGGGGTCTGGGAAGAGAAGCCACGAGAAGACGGGGCAATCGAGTTCCGAGATTCTCAGCTCGTGGTCGCCGGATATACCCCGGTACTCCTCGTAGAGGAGCCTCTTGATAGGCGCTCAAGAATCTCTATTTGCGGGAAAAGAGTGAAAAGAGAAAGAGAGCCGGGGAGAAAAAGAATAAGGGCGTGGAGAGGGACACCTTTCGCTCTCGGTGCCATTCAGAGAAAGAGCGACTTCCGCAATTGCGGCGGCCCCCGCGAATGGCGGATAGTCGCCCGCGCAATCTCGTCGCTTCTAAGAGCAATCTCTTTTATCACCTCTCACCCCGTTTCTTCCCCCTCGTTTGCGTCACAGGACTGTTTGCGGACGTGGGCATTTTTATACGGGCCGACGCCGTATGACGCGCGCGTGCGTCGCTTTCGCGGCGTGCATAATTTACGCGACGAGCGCTCGGCGGCGCGTGTAAACAGCCTCGAATGTAAAAGGACGCGACGGAACGTAAGAGAATGACAGAATTGCGAGAGCTTGATTCGGGCGAACGGCGGCGAAGATGAAAATAAAATGGCCGCGGAGAAAACTCAATTGGTCCATTGTACAAATAGTATCGCGTACCTGACGGTCTTGGCAAACGGACCGTAAGAAAGAAAAAAGTGCCAGCGAAATAACACATGTAGTGAGTGGCCTTTAATGTCGATTGTTAATTAACTGCAATTACACTTATGCACACGATTCTAAAATATTATTAAGCTAGCGCCACACCATGCGCGATTCGTCGTTCGTGATTCGCAGAAATTCGTTGGACATTCGTTATTACTAGAGGTGTGACATTTTTATGTTATTTTTTGCCATTTTTTGCGTTTTATTTTTCTAGATTTTGTGTTACTTCGATGTTATTTTTTGGCATCTTTTGCGTTTTGTTTTTTCGGATTTTGCGGATTATTTTGATAATGCCGTGGTCAGGGGTGGGCAGGGCTTCAATAAGACGACTTAGGACCGGTTTCACCAACGTCGCTTAATTTTAAACTTAGTTTAATTCGTTCTTTGTCTCTTTCCAACTGTTACTTTAGAAAGAGGCAAAGAACGAATTAAGCTAAGCTTAAAGCTAAACAATGTTTTGATAGAACATAATTTACGACATTTATTAAGACTAAACATATATTGCGTAATGTAACATAAAACATAGCATAACATATTAAAATAGCATGGAACAAATTACTGAAATTACATATCATTTTCAGGCTATAAAAGCAGTAACACGTCTAAAAAAAGCAAACAAAAACTAGTCTTAGGCATAAATCTCTAAATCTCTTTGGTTTAGGATACAACATTGGCGTTAGAAATGTTTACTAAGGAAAATTGCAATTTTTGACGTTATTTGGACGCTATTTTGCGTTATTTTGCGTGTTAAAACGAAGTTGGGGACTCCAAAATGTAAAGAAATAACATTAAAAACGTTCCTGGGGCATTTTGCGATATTTTGCGTATAAAGATAACATCAAAATGTCATACCTCTAGTTATTACTTACCACTGTTCGTGATTCGCAGTTTATCATTCGTAATTTATTAGTTGTCGTTTCGTTCATGTTAACTTGGGCAACGTTTAACCTGTCATTACAGGACTTGTATCATAAGTCAACAATTAGTCAAGTTTCAATATTAGCCAAACAATCGACCAATTCTTCCTCGACACTATTCGCAAATATACGAATCACGAATCGCGTATAGTGTGGCGCTGGCTTTAATCTTATACACGCGAGATGGATAGAGTTACGTGAGATAATGAGGGGGCAGACTAGTTCCTCGTTAAATTATGAATGAGAGCAATTGTCGGGAGATCTCGGAAGACCCGCCTTTTGTCGATAATCGCGGGTTTTCGAAGGTATTATCTTCCGCGGACACCTCGGTGCGAGGCGTACGGCGGCGAAGAACGATCCGGCCGGCCCCGCCTCTCGGTTCCCTGAGCGTGCGGGGTCGAGAAACGGCGAAGCGAGTAACCGGAAGCCGTGTTCCATTTCAATGCGCGAGCCTCGCTCGTGAAAGGAACCGATAACGCCTGTCGACCGAGAGCCGGCCGAGGCGAGCCCTTTCCTAAGCGAGATAGAGTCGGGCGTTCCTTTGACGCGATTTCGCATTTCCCCGCACGGAATCCTCGCCGCGAACGACGAACCCCCCCGATCTTCGCATGCAACTCGGCAGAAGGGGAGGGCGCGGGCGCGCGCGACCTATTGTCGGCCTCTGATAATGCGTACGAGCAGGCGCCGCTCCGCGCGCGATAATATTCCTATTCGGCAGTCAACAAACTTCCATGCCATTCATTTGCGAGTCGGGGGGAGGGGACGAATGCGGGTAATTAAGATTCGCAGCCGAGGAGTAGAATAGATACCTCGAAGTGCGTTCGCGATTGAATTGAAATTGCATGGAATTTGTCGACTGTCACGGCGACGATGATAGGATTTTCAATGAGGAAGTGCAGATGTATCTTAAATCAATTTTCGGAAAGAGAAACCGGAAATTATTCCTCTCGAGGAATCCTCAAAATGCGACCGACGTGCGATACACTTTTGACGTAGTCCCTCTGTTTGCGGATGTTGCAGATCCCCGGACATTCGCGACCCGCAACTGGCGACACGGTAGTCCGCGCGCGTTGAAGAATCGGCCGTCGGGTCGCGGAGCGTCGGCAGCCTCCGGCAGCTCCGTTAGCCAGGCATATACCACCACCCGGAACAATCCCCCGCCCGTGGCAAGACGGCCGATCGTGCGGACGTCCTCGGTGCTACCCCGGCGCGGCCGCTACGTGCGACGACAACAGCCCAAAGATTCTCCCACCGAAGGCCAAGATGCATATCGAGGTGCAGGTGGCGCTTAACTTCGTGATATCGTACCTCTACAATAAACTGCCGCGCAGACGGGTCAACATCTTCGGCGAGGAGCTCGAGAAGGCGCTCAAGGACAAGTTCAAGGGCCACTGGTACCCGGAGAAACCGTTCAAGGGCTCGGCGTTCAGGTGCCTCAAGACTGGCGACCCGGTCGACCCGGTGCTAGAGCGCGCCGCGAAGGAAAGCGGCGTGCCGATCCAAGATATCCTGGAGAACCTGCCGGCCGAGCTCGCCGTCTGGGTCGATCCCGGTGAGGTGAGCTACCGTATCGGTGAGCTAAACGCCGTCAAGATCCTCTACTCGGAGACCGGTGACCCGCACGACGAGACCTCGGCCGATCGCGAGGTCACCAAGACCTTCAATCCGGAGGCGCAGTGCTTCAGGCCGATCGAGGCCGTGAGCACGTCCCTGAGCGGTCTCAGCCTCAGCCCGAAGTCGACCTCGCCGTTCTCCAACTCCCTCAGCAGCAACGCCAGCAATGGCTCGTCCAACAACCAGCAGAACGGCCACGGATCCGGTTCCTCGTCTGCGCCCTCACCCACGCCCATCACCAACTCCTTCAAGGGCTCGCCCAGCCCCGTACCGGCCTTCATCCCGCGTACCACCGCCCCGCTCACCTTCACCACCGCCACCTTCGCCCAGACCAAGTTCGGCAGCACCAAGCTCAAGACTAGCAGCAAACGCGCCAACAGGTTGGTACACGCCGTTTCACGTTTCCTCCCAATCTCGATCAGATTCGATCCAACTTATTGTTAAAGATGAACAATGATTGCTGGTCAACTTTCTTTGCTATCATCATGGAAATACAGTTTACTTCTTTGAGGCGTTCAAGGTGGATGATTTTGATACGATTATAATAGATCGTGAATACAAACATCTTAATTTTCCAAATTACGATCGTCTCGAGTTTATGCGACGGACGATTTTGTAATGAAAATAGTTCTTTCTTTCCCTGATGATAGGAACATAATTATTGCGGCAAAGAGTTGTGTGAAATAGTTGCTGCTCGAGGAGTGTCGCATTGAAAAGACAATAGTACGGAACGTTATTTAATAACTAATCAGAATATTTTTCAATGTCGCCAGCGGTAATTAACGTCAGCGTTTTCTCGACCATACCTGGCATTTTTAATAATACAGAAATTTTTTGGCGAAAAATACCTCAGCCAGGGTTTGAACCTGGACCTCCCCACACTCTAGGCGGGCGTCTCACCAATTCGGCCACTTGGACACGTACATGGTGAAACGCTCGTGTCAACGTCAGTGTTTTCTTGACCATACCTGGCATTTTTAATAATACAGAAAATTTGTTGCGTAAAATATTACCTCAGCCAGGGTTTCAACCTGGACCTGGGCCTTCCCACACTCTAAGCGGGCGTCTCGCCATGTACATGCCTCAGTGGTCGAATTGGTGAGACGCCCGCTTAGAAGTGTAGGGAGGTTCAGGCTCAAACCCTGGCTGAGGTAATATTTTTCGCAATAAATTTTCTGTATTATAAAAAATACCAGGTATGTTCAAGAAAACACTAACGTTGTAATTTAATAAATTACACGCAGTTGTTATTTATAAAAAAACATTGCAAAAGACTGATCACTTAAATCTTTTCGATGTTACACTTCTCGAGTTTCCCAGACAACGCAATCTGTATGTGTATTCGTGGAATGCTGCTTGCACTTGTCTCGAGTATATCTTCACCTATTTACCATCGCTAGAAACTAACATTACTTACAATTCCCGCGGTATAAAGAGCAAATTGAACAGTGGGATCGCCATTAGATGGATAGTTGATCGCTTCGCAACCAGATAACCCGTAGAAATAGCTCGCATGCTCGAAATTAGAGAATAACGCGTAACGAGGCGTGCGATCTGTCGCATAGGAGAGCGCACATTGCCGATAGGATTTAATTCTAGCCCGCGCGTTATACCCCGTTCCCGAAATACACACGCACACAAGCACGACAGACCAAAACGCGCGTACTAACCAGGCCGCGGCGATCTACCACTCCCGGATCCACGCACACACGCGTGCATACACAGAGCCACTGATGAACCGCACGGTACCGCTCGGTTTCAGGATGTCGCCCACCGAGTTCTCAAACTATATAAAGCAGCGCGCAGCGATGCAGCAGCAGATTCACCATCACCACCATCATCAGCAGCAACAGCAGCACCAGTCGCAGCACCAGTCGCAGCATCAGTCGCAGCAGCAGCAGCAACAGCAGCAGCAGCAGCAGCAACAACAGGCGACGGCGGCCGGTGCAGGATTGCCAGTCTCGCAGAGCTCGCCGCGCAGTCGTAGCCTATCGCCCGGCAGCATAGTCGCTGGTGCCGGACAGCAACACGCGGACCCGAGCGCGTACTTCTTCCCACACGGCCCGGCCGCGGCGGCGTACCACCCGCAATTCCCCCATCGCAACATCTTCGACTCGTCGGCGAGCCATGGCGGCTACCTGCCGGCCGATCTCTACGCCGGCACCAAATTCCCATCATCGTACCTCGACCCGACCACCCTGGCCGGCCATCAGTTCTACGGCGGTAGCATGAACGGCACCGGCGCCGGTACTGGCGGCGCCGTCAACGGCACCACCGGCGCCGGTGCCGGTAGCCAGGGCGCCGGTAGCGCTGGCACCGGTAACCTCGGCCCGATCGGCTCCGCGACGACCAACGGCAACGTCAACGCCGGCGCGGCCGCCGCGGCGCAGCAGCAGGACAAGAGCGCCCTGGTCGAGGGCCTCAACAACTTCGGCCTCGGCTCGGTCGCGCCCTACCCGGCCAGCCAATATCAGCACCTGCTTGTGGCCAACTAATACCTCGCGCGTGCACATGAAGCCGTCGGAAACACCGTCGCCGCGGGGCGCGGCGGCGGTAACAGCGTACTCGTTTTCGGTGCCGCTGGTCCGGCGGCGGACAAGAAGGAGACGGGGCCGTCACCTCTGAGACTCCGTCGTCGCGACGCTGTCCCGAGCCCGGCTTCCTGAAGACGAACGTCCAAGCCGAATCGGTCCCACACACTCTATCTCTTCCCTTCCCCATCGGAGTCCGCCGGTTACGCGGCTGACGACTTGTCCTCTCTCCCACGATCCCGCATCCAGACGCTTCTCAGAACGCTCTTTCGTTCGACTTTTCCCAATCCAAGGAGTTCGAGACACTCTGTACATACATTATTGATAGCTATCAACAGATGGGGAGGGAGAGATAGAGAACGAGCGGAGAAAAAGAGACACAGAAACGGCCGCCGAACAATCGGCACCGATGACGATCATGAAAGCGATCGAGACGAGGAAAGAAGGTGTGATAGGATAGAGAGAAAGAAAAAGAGAGAGAGAGAGAGAGAGAGAGAGAGAGAGAGAGAGAGAGAGAGAGAGAGAGAGAGAGAGAGAGGAGAGAGTGCTTGCGTACGTGTGAGTGAGTGAGTGAGTGAGTGAGTGAGTGTGTGAATGAATGAGTGAGTGAGTAACTATTGAGGAACGCTGGCAACAGACAATGTCGATGAGACTTGGAACCGGATAGTTCACTAAAAAAAATTAATTGTGTATACTTGGTATACTGATTTCTAATCAGTATACT